AGGTGGAATATCAAAGCAGAAGAAACCCTCAAGGTCTGAGTACAGATCAGACTATGCATATTCAGAACATATTAAGTTTGAGAACACATGATTTAACCCTAATCCTCTCCTGTTCTGCAACAGCAGCTGTTCAGAGTGAAATAGGTGGCAACATCTTCGCCTGCAGGAGATTTCACTCTGCTTTATGAAGGCCTTGAAACAATACTCAAGGATCAAAATGAAATAGAACTTGAGAGTTGTTTGTGAAACTGTGCTCTTACCCCTATTCTACAAGTGGAGAGATGACGGGTTTTGTCAGATCACAGGAAGCATTCATTGCAACTCGTAATTAAATTTACAAAGATCCAAGCCCTGAGGAAAAAAAATTCCCACTAGTTCACATGAAACTCAGCACTTCATACTATGACTTTACACTGGATTAGTGGGAAACGAAAGCTTCTGCTTCAATTTCCAGCCTCCACCGTCTTTCACTGCACAAAACCAAATTTGGCATAACATCACTGTAAGCAGTATACGTAATGTACAACAAAATGCTCCATATTTTTTTTTACTCATTTGAAGAAATGCTAAGCATCGTCTCACCCATTCAAGTACATCAAAACTCACTCCCTACGGATACAAAAGGAAGTTCACAAACGCAGCAGTCTCAAGGCTCCTTTATTCTAAATGTCTCAATACTGCTTTGCATGCCTGCAAGAAGCACACCCACAGATCTACAGTGACCACACTATGGTTTTCCTTCAGATCCGAGTACAACTTTCTGCTGTTTCAGCAAAACCATTGTCCACTGTCATGCGAGTTTCCCTCTATCCCAGCTCAGATTTGTTATATCTTTAGTTCCAGGTTTGTCATTTCGCTGCCACTTTACCAGGTTTTTCACCTCTTCCTAAAAGATTAATGACTTGCTGGAGATCAGTGATCTGTTAGAATGATTCGTGTTCATTTCTCCTTCACTTTCTTCACTATTTACTACTTTGGAGCTGTGAGTAGAAAACTTGGCAGCACTTAAAATGTCCAGCTACTCACTTCCCATCATACTTGGCTGCTACACAGAACGTGACCTCCTGTTTGTAAAGTGTTATGTGTATGTCTCTATCAGATACTGCGCAGAGATTATCAGCTAAACACATCTGGAACATGAAACAAGATATAAAAAAAAAAATCATCTCCTTAATAAGGAATATAAAATAAGATCTTCCACAGAATTCTAACATTAAGCATTAAAAGTTAGAAAGGAAATATATACAATTCCTGACACAGTTTTAAGTCAGATAAGTTAACCACACTAAATGCTTTCTTTGCAGAGTATATAAAGGTAACCTCCTGCTTGATTGTGCTCTTGTGATCAGCACAAAAAAAAAAAAAAATCAAACTCAATAATTAGTGAGAAATTTCTTAAAAGTATTTTGAAGTTTCCCTATAATGCTCCACTTTACTTGTGGAGTAAATGTTCTACTTCTCAAGTTACTGTTATTCTGAAGCCTCCTAATTACACCAGAGCCTGAATCACTGATGTGGCTAATGGAAGATACATCATCATGTTGCATAAACTGCATTTAATTAGACAAGATGACAAAAGGCACACTTGGAAGGCAAGACAGTACTCTTTCCAGACACCTTGGAAGACAATTGCACTGTTCATATCTGAGGTCAATCATGCAAGGACAAAAAAATTCTGAGGACTTTTTTTTCCTCTTAAGTCAAGACACAAAACTTTTTATCAGATGTGTAACTGAAATTTCATAGAACAGATAAAAGCAAATACCAAAAAAAGAGTGTTAGCATTCCACCAGAAATTTCAGCTTAGATTCTCTGGTACTTCAGTGGTCCTTCTATACTAACTATTAATACATTGTTACCCAATCTCAAGTATTTCACATTCTTTACTATATACTTAAGTCCAAGAAAACAATCACATTGATCAGCAACATAATGAGTAGTTTTATTGTTTCCCTTACCTTTGAAGCTCTAAAACCATCCATCAGCTCTAGAATTTTAGATGGAACTTTTGCTGACACTGACACTCCAGTCTGCTTTTCCAAAGGTACCATAAAACCAGCTCTGACACTAGAACTGTTTCCAGAATTGCAAATAGCTCCTGAGGAACACATCCCACTGCTGTCCACCTTACTAGCACCTTTATGCTCTGTGAAATTTGAAGATTCACTTTCTCTGTCACTTAGGTTCTCAAAAGTGTCCACGGAAGGGATAGAGTCATATTTTTTATGTTGTATATTATGTTTAGGGGGCGGATAATACAACTCTGCTAGCTTTTTGCAGAAGTGATTCAGAGGAAATCCCATCACATTCAAGAAGTCTCCATGGACATACTCAACTAACATTCCACCAAGGGCCTGGATTCCATATCCACCAGCCTTGTCCCTGGGAGAGAGAAAGAAAAAACAATATATATATATATAATTAAGGTTAAGAGCAAAGGTAGCACAGCACACAAATAATCCACCAGTACTACTCAAGTTAAAGGCGGATTAAATCCACTAGTTAGGCTCAACATTTCAGTTTATAAATCAAGATAAATACAAGAGCAGTATTTCTACTAAGTGTGAGTTGCCTAAGATCTTTATGCTTCAGGTGGTCCAGGTGCCGTAGTCACCTAAGGAGGAGGTACATCGTCTGACTGCAGTCAGATTGTGTTGCCACAGGTCACCCAGCATTCTCCAAGTCCTGGCTACCAAAAAGGTACCAGCAAGCATCACCAAGACCAACATTGCCAGTGGGTCACCCAGCTGTATAGTGATCCTTGCTCTATTCCACAAGAGGCTGAAGGGCCTTTAGGAATACGTTAGCTCCAAAGGGAGCTTACACTGAAGAAGAAATCTTAGAATTCAAATGACTGTAGGATGCGTCTTGCTGATCTCAGTCACAGGAACATCTAAAATGAGGATCAGGAAGATAGGACTTTCTTGGGGTGGAGCAACCTATTAAAATACAAAATCTACTATTATCCCATTCAGCCCTATCCAATTCTTGTGTAACCATCCAAGATGTAAGCAGACACTGTGCTCTTAGATGTCACAGTAATACTAGTAGTTTGGCACTGAAAAGTATTTTCACAGAAAGTAACCTTGGAAATCAAATTTGTCTTTAGGTGTGATTACACAAATTCCACTGTATGGAACGGAAATGCATACAGGCAGATAATCTACAATAGACTCAACAATTTTACTGTTCCCATTTAAGGAACAAAGCAGTTAGAAGTATGCTTACTACATGATAACACCAGAATCTGAAAGCCTAGGTCAGCAAGCTTTGAAACCAAAGGTCAGTCAGTCTCAGACCTATTAACTTCATGTAGTATAGAACTATGCAAACTACTTGTGAAAGAAGGTTACTACACAAAGAAGACTGTATATTTTTCATCTTAGATTTGACCAGAACCAGCTCTTTCTATTTTTAGAATTTATTTCTGGACTCCCTTTTCTGACAGTCTCCTAAGAGAAACAGAAGAATCAGTATCCCAGCAGATGGGATTTTTGAAATGCTATAAACTAGGGAACAGGGCTTTTCCTCTAATCTTGCATTTTAAGCACCACTGTATAGCTTTGTCACTGGTTAAATTATTCCTTCTTTTATAACATATTTAAGACTTATACCATCTGAATTAGGAATATTCTAATGACTAAAAAGTCTTTTCATTTTGAAATGAAGTAGCAGTTCAGTAGGATGAAGTCATGTTGCTATATGCTGACAGGGAAGCAAAAAACATTTTGACCATCAAAAGCAGAGGTATCATACTCCTAGCAAGGACATTAATACACTTGGCCACATCTTATTTTTATGCAGAACTTTACATTCTGGTATTGGATACAGAGTAGGATTCTCTACTACAGGTAGAGCTGCTAGTCCAAAAGCTTGAAGTTATGTAGTTAGTAACAGTTCCACTGATTTTTCAACAAGTGTCTTCCATACTAAAACCCAGAATATCAGTATTTACATAGGTCTCATAACTAGCTCTGGCTAATCTGACTGGCTTTTTTAACTGGATACTTTTATTAACATAGCACTAACCTTACGACTTCATTTATACCACTATGCACAGCATCAGGTAACTTCCATTAAAATAGAAAAATACAACTCCCTTTAAAGACCTTTTGACAAATAATGACAAATCACTGCTGCAACTAAAACATTTTTTCAGTAGCTGACTGTTGTACAGGATACACGATTTCAGAAAAAAAAATGTGCAACATCCACAGATTTAAAAACAAAAACAATAACAACAAAAAACCCCACAACCAACCAATGAACCGAACCCACACACAATAAAATGGGGGCAAAAATGTTAAGAAACAAGGTAAAATAGAGGTAACTCTTGAAAATGCAACATGAAAGCACATTTCCTTTATTAGATGTAGAACTTTAACTTTAGTCATGCCACAAAATTGTATATTCATGTATACAATATCTGTATTGTCCAATACAGAGCCAATAATAAAATAAATCACTGTTGCATTAACAAGCACTACTGCTCCTACAGATGAAGGGAGATGCTTGGTTGGGTTTTAGGTGGCTTTCCAAAGGCAAGAACACATGTATGACAGTTATACATGCATCTTGGCCCATACAGTCACAATAGTAGAAATACAGACAAATTTCAGCCACATTAGATAGAGCCCAGTCACTAGCTCAGGTGGACTTCACTAACAGTCAGAAATACAGAGGTACACCACTGACAAAATTAATCTTTACTGAAGCAAACATTTAAAATACATTAGAAGCTATACAATAATTTCTTATATCTCTATGAGCTATTATTTAGTTGACTGGATACCCAAGCTCAGTTATCTTCACATGTCTGCAAATTCAAAAATCCCACCTTTAGTTCCTGTAAATACTAATTCAGTGGTTTTGTAGAGCAGAGAGACTGGTATGACGGAAGTAAGGAGAAGGAGCATTTGGTTGCCTATCTCTTGGAAGAGGCAACTGCTAGATGCCCAGCATTACATACATCATGGAACCAGTCAGAGATGTGTTTCCATTTGCAAAGGAACTTGCAAAGGAGTAGAGATAGGCAGGTACAAGAAAATATTTGCTAGTAAGTTCTGGTGAATGTAGAACAACGATTTCATACACAGGAGTCAACCACAGCAACATGATAGATTAGAAACAAGATTCAAAGTTAATTCTAGTATTAGAACACTACAGCTCGCTTACTTCTGTAATCCTGCACCTGGAAGATTTTTGCTCTTATGCTCTAAGAGTCGATAATCTCAAATTATCAATGAGATAATTTGTGCTGTAAGACTGTAATTATTTGCAAAATCTAAAAGATATATTTGCTATAGCTTTGAAGGAAATAAGTCTTAAGAGAAATAATACAAGAGAAGAAAGTTAGACATTTATATTCTACATTTTATTACTTCATAGTTAAGTCTGAAACTGTAGAGCTCCAGCCTCTGTAATCACCTCCCTCCCAGAGTGCAGTAGGGTCCTTTGGTTTTGTTGCCACCATTCAAAGCAGAGCTACCAAAAACCACACAGGATCTTCAAACTAGAAGTTGTGAAGAGAGACAGAGGAGGTTGTTCACAAGGGAAAAGATTACAAAATAAAAAGCTGGGTCAAAGAGGCCAGCAGATATAAATTTACTCATTACACAAGCCCAAAAGAGTTGGGATTACTATGGCCCATCTCTTTTTCTACAAAGAACCAGAAGAGATGCTGCCAGCAGGAAGAAAATCCTTGTTTGGAAAGAGGAACAGGAATAAAACAGAAAGGGAAAGGCCATCATTCTGCAGCCAAAATTTCTGAGGGTTATAGCTTCATCACAGTCTACCTTGAGATAGTGCTTGTCCCTCCTCCCTTATTAACACTTTAAGTCAGTTATATGCTTACAGAATTAGTCCCCGTGTCACCAGTGACTGACTTTTAAAATACTATATGCCAATTTTGTCCTTGCTATAAACACAACTCAATCCAATCAACAGCACAAGAGTCAATTTTTCTTTTAATTTTTCATGTGATCAGTAGGTCCTGTATGATTTCACAAAATTAAGTCAACATTAAAAAAAATAAAACAATGGTCACTTGAATTGCAATAGTGTTTAGAAAAACCCGTATACATACAAATGTGCAACCAGCATGGGTGGCCATGGAGGAGAGGACAAAAAACCTAATCAAACAAAAAAAAAACCCATGGGAGATTTCAGACTGTTTTGCAAAATTTATAGGACACTATATTTAGTAGCTCCTTTGCAAGGCCAGAGGAAATGCTTCCTATCCTCATGATTATATGAAGGAAGACTGATTGGCTTCTGCTCCAGAGAGTAATTAAATATATTATCTAAACCTTTGGTCTCTGAGAAACACTTGCTGTCACACACCCCGTTTAGCAGAATGAACAGAACTACGCAGCGCTGCTCATGAGCCCTTTTGCTGCAGCACAGCACCGCTAACGTGTATTTTCTGTCAGAGAAAATAATCAAAATATTCCAAAATATTTTTCAACCTGATATTATTCCTAAAAATCCACAGTCATTTCTCCTTCAAACTGCAACTTTCTGATCATCTGCATACTAAAGATCACCTTCCAAAAACTTAACTAGGAATTTCTGTTACAAACTGTATTCTTGCCATAATATTCTTCTCTGCATAGTCCAATTTAGCTTTGGTCTCTTTAATAAGCTGGGAACCTTACATGGTCAGAAAGGATGCCTCATTTACACATAAGTGCTTCAAGAAATCTAAAGACTACACTGGTTCCTCTTTCCCCAGTAAAAAATGACCGTATCGTTTTATAGCACAAACAAGTGTAAAAAAAGACCATGACTGATATTGTCACACAGCCATAACTGAATTCAGAGCGAAAGGTTCATCTCAGGTCACCAGATACAGAGTCCACAGTGCTAACTACAGCTTGATTAGCCTTCACTAAGCTAACACAAAGGAAAGGCAAATTCTGTAAAGGCACAAATATTCCCTCGTTGTCTCAAAATAAGCACTTTTTTTTTTTTTTAAACAATGTAGTCAACTTAATCTTAGGCATTGTGCTCTCATCCTATTGTCTTCTGTGGAATCAATGTTGTAAGTAACCAGTATATTGCAAGGGTAGAGGAAACACATAAGCTAAGAAACAATTATGGCATAAGAATACGTATAAACTGGCCTCAAGAATAAGTGAAAATTAAGTTGGTGTTTCTTGCATCAGAGCAGTGTGATTTTGATAAACTAAATAAACCAAGTTCTAGCTTCCTTCAATAAAGTTCTCCAATACCCCAATTATCTCACTCTATTCACCTGTTTTAGAATGACAACTATCCATTGTCTCAGGTATCCAAGTTCCCTGAATGCCTCTGTTAACAGAAAGGTAACTGTATACTGCATGAGTGCTTGCTCTAATCCAGAGTATTTCAACAGTCTTCACTTTTCAAATTTGTTAGGGTGCTAAAAGGTAGCTCACTTTCCCTGGAGGTATGATAGTTCTAGAACAGAACAGAATACCCACCTTGCATCACCCATGCTATAATTTATCATATATACACAGCAAAATCTCACGGAACAGAGGACAAAATGTTTCATGCTGGTGGCTAATAATGTACCCTAAGGCCTGTTCTCAAATACTGTATAATAGCTTCATGGTCTTACTTACATTGGCTCCCCGCTATGAATATACTCCCATAAGAGCTCTTCAGACAGGTCAGAAAATTTTACTTTAGTCTCTTCATAGAAATCAGTGACTTCCATGTCTAGCTGGTTATCTACAGAAATAAAGACGTCTTATTAGAAACAGAAATTGTAGCTTAGAGAGCATAACATCTCAGTTTTATTTCAGTTTGTATTCATTTGACCTTTTTTGCTTGGGAAAAATGAAACATACTAAAGATACTGTATGAAATGACTAATAATGCTCCTTAGGGACAGGGGACTCATATCTTCCCTAAAAAAAGTAAAAGCTTGCATTTTCGACCTCTGCAGTCCTGTCTCAGGGTTAACAGGTTGCTCTCCCTATGTGGGATGCACTCTTAAATTAATGATGCTTATGCAGAGCTATTTATGGACTGCTGGCATATACATCCAGCACTGAGTACAAAGAAGGCTACAAACACCCTTCTAACTTTCTGACTGTTGTCAAAGAACTCTTAAAAGCACATCATAATTAAACACATAGCAGTTATAAATGCTTGAAAGTGAATGTGCAGCTGTAACTGTACTGAAGACTTGGACATCCAGCAGCCCCAAGAGTAACCACCAGTTTCATTTTCATATCATCTCTCAAGAAAGAACAAGATTATTTCAGATTTCTATATCTAGAAGTGGTTGAGAGAAGGCCAGAGGTGCAATAAAGTACTGCACACCTGGGTGTGGACCCTGTTGTGTGTGTTATACTGTGAATCTAGTATCATTGCAGATCAAGGCTTTTCTGAAACATGTTCAAAAGGACACATCCTTGCACAAATGAATGTGCATGTTATGGATTATTAGTTCTCTCTACTCTTTCCTATAAAAATCAAGGTCAGCATCTCCTGTTACCATTGTTCTGATAGCAGTGGAAATTCTTGAGGAGTAAGAAAGATCCACAGTATAGACCAAGAGAAGAAGAATAACCAACTGCTAATGGTGTTAGCGTTGAAAAAAATATTTAATGACCCAGATGAAATAGAAAAGTTGCTGCATATGAAGACAGATTACTACGTCTTTCAGTACTGATAAAAAACCAATCAACTCAAGATGAAAATTCCATCTGTAATATGTATGTGGTACTTAAACAGCATTGTAATTATAAACTAAAAGTAAAAACGCATTCTAGAAAACTCTTCCACTGATTGCATCACTTGGGAAATATGCAGACTCATGGTAATTTTATTCATCTGAATATGATGTGGCTTAAATTTGTAAACTTCAAATGAGATGTGCTGTCATAGCATCAGTACTGCAGTTGTCTGTCTTCCCAGAGTAAAGAATGAAAGTCATTATCCTTGCCGGATTGTTCACAGGAATCCCTTGATAACATGTTTTTTTTTCTTTTGCAGCAGCTCTCTTTCTAATGTACTAGCATATTAGTAAGGGTGCTGGAACACTGACCTTAGTTCTGTTATAAGAGTTAAGAGCAATCACTCCAGTAAAGATTAAAAGCTGTAAATAATTTGTTTATAGAAAGACTACATCCAGTGGAATTTCAGAGAAATGATCCTTGCAAAGATATTAAAAGAATATTGGCATAATTATCAAAGGAAGTCCCTCAAACCAAACACTCCTCAAATTATATTAATGGTGCAGTGCTCAAAAACCACTGCTTACTATATAAATTATCTGATAAAGAACATTGATGTATTGCTCCTTACAGTTCATTAACAGTCTGACGCATTAAGTCATTATTTTACTTATCCCCTATAGGCTCTAGAGCTTCCCTTATTTACAGTAAAACAAAGTAACTACAGATAGAGCAACTGCTTGTGTTTGTCAGCTAGTGTAAATAGAACATAGGAACAAAGTTAATATGGATCAGATTCTGCTCAGTCCCACAGTTTGTAGCACCTTACTTGAATGTCATTTAATGTCAGAATATTCCCACAATTCACACTGCCTTTTAATTACTCCCACAGCTTTCAGAGACAGTATTTCTAAAGTCTATTGTATTTTCCCTCCTTCCTGTGTGAAAACCAAATACAGTAAGAAAGCTGGCTTTTGCTGGAGTTTTTAATTTATATATTGATAAGGTAATTCTCATCTTGATTAGGAAGCTAGTTCAGACTGTATATGAAAAATTTCCATCTTATTTCTTCACTTGTACAAGGCCTTATGAGAATATTTTAAATGTAAATACGGAGTTTTAAAATGACACATGTACCTTTACTGCTGCAATGTATAATAGCCACTCCCGTGAACACACTGTGTTCTTTCCCATTCAACCTGTCAGGGAAAAAATGTGCATTAAGCTACAGTTTTATGAAATCTGTCATGTGCAAAAATGTTCTATATGCAATATGCTACTACAGCCCGAGAAACAGATTATTATATTAATACATAATTCAATGGCTCTGACATGTATCCCAAATAAATACATTTTATTTTTTTTATTTCAATATAGGTGAAAAGACATTGGCAAACCAAAAAAATACTATAAAGATATTCAGTCATTTCAAGTCTCCAAAATCTCAGTTGTACCAAAGTCCACAATTTGGAAAAGTAGTCCATGGTATCAGCTTATTTACTGTACACAGGGAGAAGTGACTACTTCAAATGCATAAGAAAAAGCCGATCAGCATAAACACTACAATTACAGGCACCTTCACAGAAAGCTGGCAACAAATATAGATAGGTGATGCAACCTAGACTAAACAAGTAATAGGCAACTAGGGTTTATGTACTCATTTCACCCAGACTTGCCCCCAGGGATCCCCCGGATCCACAGTAACAGAGAGTAGAGGAAGAGAGCCTGTATTCACGCTTACCCCAGGCCCATATGCTCCCTCTTGTGGTGGCCTCAGAGCGCCACACTGTGGCCGATTAATTTTGAGCGCTTTAAATTTATGAAACTAACGTGTCAGCAGTGGAAGTATAATAAATAGCATGAGAACGTCAATCTTTGAAGAGGCTAGTTAAGGAATAGCCTCCTAGAGATTACCCAAACTATTATTTGATGTGATTAGAAGCCCTTTGCACTCTTACTATCCCCCACAATATTCCACGGAATTAATTCCAAGACGAAACAGTGAGTGAAAATTTTAATCTAACACCTTGCATATATGCAAATACACATCTTGTCTGTATTTTTTCCTGTTCATATAGAACAAAATTAAGATAAGTTACAAAAAACCTAAATTTTAAGTGCTTTTCATATCCATGATTAAGAGACTGACATACTCAAAAAAAAAAAGGTAAAATATTTTCATCTGTTAGAAGTTGACTAAGTTCTGCAAAAAAAAAAAGCCAATAAAATTTTTGAACTAACCAAACTTGGCATGATCTCAAGCAAAACCAGTTGTGAAATTGCTCACCAGACAGACTCCTTTGGGAATCTCCTACTAATAACATTTACTGCTGTCACTTTTTCTTTAAAGACCACTACTTTTAAGTTAATAACATCCCACAAAGGATCAAAAATTCAACCTAAGTTATCAATGAAAAAAATCTAGAATAAACTTACAGAATAAAACTCCAAAAACTACCAAGCCACTTGTATTCCCTCTTTAGGAGATGACCTCCCTAGAATGTAAATTGGTGAAACAACCAGTGCACATTTTCTGTATTCCCCCCCATGAAACAGGCATGTGACTAGTGGATTCAACACATCTTATCCTTCAGAAAGAAGGTGACTAGAGTTATTTAGCTGTTGGGGTTTTTCTAAAGAAAAAAAAAAAAAGAAAAAAAAAGCAAGCGCTACAAGATAACATCAAGCTTATATGGAAAAGTATCCTTTAGGAAGAAAGCAGAAGCCTCAGAAAACACCAGCCTACCATCCACGCAGAACAGTGATGTAAGTAGATTTTTCTTCCTCAGTCAAACTACAGAATTTAAAGCAACTGTCCCTGAACACTTCTCACCATGTACCTTCTTGTACATGCAATATCCTTCCACTGAATGTCAAGCCTCAAACCACTTCTGTGATGGTTCTGTGCTCCTTCCCATTATGATTTCTCTCCAAATCTCCCCTTCCTGTAGCAGGTGAAGCATACAGTCTTGTGATAAGTGACTTTGAAAACTAATCCAAGTGAAAACAAAATGGTTCATTATGTCCCTAATCAGCTTCCTAAGGTGAAGGGGCAAAAGCAAGCAGCCGTGGATAAGATAAAGGCAGGTATAACTTTTTCAGTGACAGAACAGGCATGCACTATTTAAAAACGATTGAAAAATTAGTGTCCACAGAGTTCTGCATATACACCAAGGAATCTGCACAGCTCATTTTCAAACAGCTTAACATACACATTAGGAATCTTAATTAAAACTACAGACCTTGACAGCATCCTATATGCATCTTGTTTATCAACTGGTTTCTCCAGGATCTGCTCATCCACAGACTAAAACAGAAACAGAGAATAAGTGTGCTGCTTTTTCTTACTTTTCAGAGACTGAGGTCAGAAACGATGTCTAAACCATTATTTCAGCCCAGGCTTCAAACATGAGTCTACTGAGAAGAGCAAGAGGCACAGATACTTTGGTAGAACACGTAACTCAGTGACAAGCACATAATGAGGGCAACACTCTACCCTTCAGTGGCTGCAGCTCTCAAGCAAAAGGGTAATTCAACTTCTTCGGTCCTTAACTGTTCAGTTTCTCTGTGGAGATAACACATAGAAGGTGATGCCTGCTACAATGCACAACATTGAACAGTTCACATGATCTGGACTTCTCTACAGTTGACAGTTGCCCAAGAACAAAATTTCCATGACTTACTAGAGGATCCAAGGCAATAATTATGCAATACTAGTGTCTCTACAAAACCAGCAGCAGGCTTTCTAGTATTCAAGATACTAAAAATTGCCTTGTTGGGAAAAAAGCCTAAAACCCACATCTACAAAAGCCAAATGATGCATCATATTGCAAGTATAACTTCTCAGTAAAGATAGTTCTCAAACTTTAACTTCAAACCTCAAGATACAAGTATTTTCTATACTCATCATAAATTAAGACAATGTTAAACCACAGAAGACTTCTTACCACGATAGTGTCTGCTCCTATGACAACATCAGGTGTTCTCAGGTGTTTCTGCAAAGGCATAAAGAAAGAAGATACTTCTCGAAAGAGGTAGAAAGAGCAAAACCTTTTAAAACTTAAGGTAAGAAAACATAGGTACGCTGGTCTACAGGTAGGGCTCTACACTGAACTGAAAACGAGACACACTTTCTCCTTTTGCACTGTTTACAAAATAGTAATCATTTATATCACCATAAAAGTGAGGTAAGAAGGAAGCTTGAGCATTCTCAGGTCAGAATTTTGCCCAAACATGTTACTGATGAACAAATGTATTCAGTAAAGACATAACTGCATCCTCAAAGGTTAACCCAATCTTCAAGGTGGCAGATAGAATTCCTTTAAAGGAAGTGGCTTGTGTACAGAAGCCACGGAGTACAGCATTGAAGTCCTCTAGGATCATTTTTCCAAGACAAGTTTTACTGAAAAAAAAAAAAAAAAACCCACAAAAAAACCGACTTTCTTTAGCTACACTTATCCTATCTCTCTCAAAAGGGAACACATACAATCCATTTTGGGGAACTGAGACATAGGGGTATATAAAGATTCCTTGTAGTCTTTTCTTGGCTTTAATCTGTTCTTATAGCTGAGTTTTGACTTACTTGCATAAGTACATAGTTATTATTTAACACAGCAAGAGAGGAAACTTGTCTGTAACTGATCATTATACATAAAACTGTAGGAAGGTTATTCTTCTATAGAAAGACTGTTGATGTATCTTAAATAGTAGAACTAATTAAAGCTATAATTAAAAACATACCTATACGAAGAAGTATTTTGATATCCACTGAACTAGCATTATCACCACTACAGTGTTTTGCAATGAAAGCCCAATGCAAGTTAGTTAAGAGTGGCTGGGTTTAAAATCCACTCTCCTAATGTCAAATAATTCTCTGAAAAGAAGTAGATGGAAACCTGGGTAACGATTTACACTGGAGATCTTGAAATATTTGCTTTGAAGAGCTATATTATTAAGAAATTATTATGGCACATTTGGTGGGATCTAATCAGATAGACTTCTAAATAGGTTCTGGTAGAGAACAGCCTTATGTGCTCAAACACAGTGATCACAGCCAAGGGTAGAAGTCAAATATGCCACTGATGGTGCAAGTTGTACCACTGGTTGTGATAATATTTAAGATACAAAATAGATGCATTGACTACAGAACCTGAAATCACATCAGCTTCTCCCTTCATAAAATTAAATTGCCTGTTTCTTTGTCCATAGTGCTTTAAAACAGCATGTGTCATCTTTTTCTGCTTTCCTGCAGCACATCTATACTCCCAAATTCTGAGCTATTCTCTTGTCATAACTGTTCAACTGAACTACTGTTCAATGAGTGCTACAGCAAAGCACTGGATTCACATCAGTGTGTTTTCCCCTAGAGTCTCCCTCCACAATCAACAAATACCTGGAACAAACAACAGTCCGGCCACACACCTAACTTGGAAGGAACTACCAAGCGAGAGCAGGCATGCTGCTGAGATGCAGGCCACTTCTGCCTGCTTCTGGACAGCCCAAACTGCAGGCATAAAACGTTTTGATTAGGTGAGTAAATTTCAGGAAGGCATCTTTCACAGGTGACAGAAAAACATCCATTTCCCTTCAGTGGAGAAAATGCACTCAGAGACCGCCTAAGTAGTACATGTAAATTAACTCACAATAATATGCACCACTTAAAGACAAAAATCTCATTGCCAAAATAGCTGGTAACTTACTACATGCATTCTGTTTGCTACTTCGAGAGCTTTCTGTTTCGCTGTTTCCACAGCATACTCATAAGGAGTTGCAAAAGATGACTTTTCAAGTGTCTCCTTAAACCAGGATGGAACCACCTCAAACCGCAGGCCCTGTAACAAAGGAAAGCAATGCAATCAATCTAACCCTGTTATTAAGGGTTGCTCCCAAGTCATATTAAGCAAATGACAAATCTGATTTCTGCTCTTTTCACTTTAACACCCCTCCCGCTCAAACACAGAGAGGAAAAAAACAGTGCTTCTATTACAGTGTTTGGTGTATACATAACACTGGCAAGCAATTCAGAACAAAAAAACACATCAGAAAGAACTTTTAAAGTTATGTGCTTACTTGATTTTACCCCTATTACTTATTAGAACCTAATCACATAAGTAATTTCACCATTCTCCTCTAAAATCTAAAAATATAAAACCTAGGCACTTCAAAAACAGACTATTCTACTATTGGATTTTTTTAAATTTAATCCATCCATAGCACTTTATTATAATAGTACACATTCTGACAGGAACTCTACCACCCGCTCTTTGTGTTATTACATACGTGGTAAATGGAAAATAAGAGCCAGTTTCTGGATGGTTTTGTCCAAAAAACCATTGTTCCTACCAGTTGCCCCAGGTTATACCTGTAAATTTACTACACCCAGGAGGCATATTATGTTTCTAATAACTTATTGCATGCTTGAACTTTGGTGCTTCTCCACTTCTCTGTATTTTAGAAAGAATATACTTTTTCCCATTTAAGTTCAGCATTTCCCACAAAGAGTAATAACAGCAAGAAATCTAAACTAGATGCATTATAATACTCAAGTGCCATTCAAAAGCCTCCGGCAGCCTGCCCAGTGAGGTTGACATGTTCTTCCACAGGGGCTGAATGGTCTGAACAGAGAACTTGTGCTCCACAAGTGCTTTACAGAAGGAGCCCTTATTCCCCATGCATCCCCACCCAACACTAATCCCATTAAGTTTTCCTACAATTCAGGAACCTAAGACAAATCTTCAGAAGTTTAGATATTAAGTATCTAAAGTAAAGGCAATGGAAGTACTTTTAAAATCACTTCAGTCCACTGTAAGGCCTTTCAAACTTTCCTGTTAGATGCCAGAAGTAATAACACGGGCATTTTTCAGCCTGAACAAGTTTTTTATTTGTCTGATTATGCCATCTCCCTGTCAGCACAACACTTTAGTCCACTCTCGTTAATCTGATCATGGACTAAACTGACGCTCACAGACTTGCTTACAGAAAAACCTCACCAAGAACTGGGACTGAAAAA